AAAAATACCGCCATGCTTTCGCAGGAACTGCTTAGCCTTCTGTTTCTCCTCATATGTTAGGTGATCCCATGGCTGTTCTAGATGTTTTAGTGTTTCTTTGGATGCCATTTGTGTAACAGCTGACGACACTTCATCACATCGGGTGACACTTCTTACAGGTTCGCAGATGGCTATCTTGTCACCTTTTTGAATCTTGACACAATTCGGGAAAACATTCGCAATTCTGATCGGTATATTCTTGTCGGTGTTCACCAATGACTTTCCTACTAAGTACCTATCTTGTTTCTTGTCGCCACTTTTTACCAGTCCAACACAGCACCCAGCGATTTTCTCCACTTTACCGAATACGATCTTCTCGGTATTACCAGGTATCACCACAGTTTCCGCTGATCTTACATCCATTCTGCCTGGTCCCTCGTCTGGAGATAACATGAACTCTTCATATCCAATATTTAAGATATTTCTCTGGTGATCGAACGAAAATCCATGTTGACGAATCATATCCATGCCCAAGATGAAGTCATCTTCAATATCTGCCACTAAGACGCTATGCTGAAACTTCAAATTTCCTAACTTCAGTTCGACGATAGCCTTTCCCCGTGCAACGGCCATTTCCCCCGTAACTGTACGTAAACACACTCTTCTTCCCAGAGACATCAGCTTCAATCCTTGCACTGAGTTAGCCCGCACCAACGATACCATAGCGCCAGTATCCACAGTCATTCGAATTCCCTTTCCATTGACTTTCCCGTCGATCACCAAGCTGTCAGCGGTTGTTCCTAGACTCCTAATGGAAAAAATCCTGGGGGCTCTGTTCTCCCCAGTCAATACTCGCCCCTTAGTATTGACTGATTTTAGTTTTCCTGGTGCCTACGTTCTCTGGATGCTGAACGGGATCGCATGAACGCGGCAATCCCGTTTGATGTGGCCATTCCTGCCACATCTATAGCACCTTATGTCCTGGGATCTTCTCTGGTTCTCTGTCTGGTTATTGTTGATTCCCTTGTTTATTAGTAGCTCACATAGTTTGTCGAATTTTCTACACATCTCCTCCAAACCTCTGTGAGTGTTTTCGGGCTGTTCCTCGACCGCTACCGATCTTATCTTCGGTCTAGGGATGGCGCTAAAAGCAGCTTCGATTTCCAGCGCCCTGACCAGTGCTTCGCTGCTGGTAGAAAATCGGGATATTTGCAGCGCCCTCTCTAATTCGTTGTCCCTCAGTCCGCTGATAAAGCACTGAGCAGCGAGTTCCTCCCTAAATCCTTCCGGTGCTTCTGGATATGCCAGGTGTACCAGCCGACGTAAGTCTGCTTCAAATTCCTGCAGACTCTCTCCGGACCTCTGCAGGCGTGTCTTGATCTGGGCCTGGTAAAGTTGGCGTCGATGTTGGTCGCCATATCTTCTGTCCAGTGCAGCAACCAATGTTTCGTATTCCTGCTGTTGGGCTGCAGGAATAGTTTGTAGCAATTCCAGGGCAGGGCCACGCAGCGCGATGACGAGTGCCGCTGCTTTCTCCTGGTCAGTCCATCCATTGGCAGCAGCCGCTGCTTCAAACTGGCGGTGGTACATCGTCCAGGTGGTTTGTCCATCGTAGGTCGGGGCCTTGAGGTTCGCAGTTCCATGAACGCCAGGTGTCCTTACTTGTACCTTGGTCTTCTGTAGGTCCATCTCCAATTTTTCCATTTTCTGCTGAAGGCGTTCCTCCAGATCTTCTACAACTTCTTGGAAATGGTTCTCCTGTCGTTTTTCCAGGTCTTCAAAATTCTTCTGTAGTCGAAATTCCTGATTTTCCAAAGTTTTCTTAAGACGGTCCTGATCTTCAAATTTTTCTTTCTGGCGACGCACTTCTAAATCTTCAACAATTTTCTCCAACCGTTCTTGTCTAATTCCTTGATTTTCTAAAATTTTCTGAATACGGTCCTGTTCTTCTTGTCTTTCTTTTTTGACGTCGCTCCTCCAAACGAATTTCCAAATTACCCAGTATTTTCTCAAGCCGGTCCTGTTCTTCTTGTTTCTCTTGTTGTCGTTGAACTTTCAAATCTTCGAAAAATTTTCTCAAGCCGGTCCTGTTCTTGTTGACGTCGTAGTTTTTCCTCTTCCTTTTTCTCTTTCTAATCGGGCTCGCTCTTCTTCTCGTTCTTTACGGAGTCTTTCTTGTTCTTCTGCTTTCTCTTTTCTAGTCGGGCTCGCTCTTCTTCTCGTTCTTTACGGAGTCTTTCTTGATCTTCTGCTTTTCTTTTCGCAGCCTCTCTTGTTCTTCTGCCTTTTCTCTTCTCATATTCTCCATAAAATCGCCTAATAGTTTGCTTACTTCCTCCATTTTCTTCGCTTGTTCCCTTGTACCAACCATAAAAATACTCTAATCCGGTCTAAAAATCCTCCAATCCACTTAATTTCTTCTTAAAATCCTCTTGAATCGCACTTCCGACACCAATTGTTACGGATTCCGTGGGTCCACTAATTTAAACTCACGATAAAATACTTAACGAATTTATTTTCTCACTTTATACACAATTACTAACTTATAACACACAACAAACTAACTATTCCTTCACCAAATTGTCCGATTTTCAATTTCACGCGGTATATTCAAATTTCAAAAACTGTCTCAGTTGTCGATGGCTCCGGCTTATATACTCTATTGACTGCTTCTCGAAACTTCTCCAATTCTCGGAAAGCGTACTTCTTCATACCAGACAATTCTATTGTCTGATTCCCTTACTTCTCGACTTGACTAAAAGATGGCGCCTGAAAAAGTCTTTTAATTTCTGGCGGATACGTTGCGGTTGTGCAGGCAACCAGTAATACATTTTTAATTTCTGGCGGATGCGCCATTTTTCTTGACAATATATTGCTGTTTATTTAAATGTTTTTTGTCCGCATTCCTTTCATAGACACAGATCCAGCAGACGAACTGTAAGTACTCATTGATTCCTTATCAAAAAATACGGAAAAAAGTTCATATAAACATGGGTGCGCAAATGCATAGTTTTAAAGATGCCTACAGGGTGTTAAAACTTTTAAAACATAGAATTTTTCTAATTGTCTTAAATACCATTATTTCTTTTGCTGTATGCAGCACTGTACAGGGTGGTCGGAATTGGTCTGTTTTAACAGAGAAAACCTATTTCCTGACTAGATAGAGCAAAACCGACATAGATGTCATGGGCTCGATTTCTGAGACACGTTTAATGGCATAAACCGCCTGTTGATATTTTCACTGCCAACTGAGATACGGGGTCTTTTTGCATTTTTTACCATTTTGAAAATTGCCCATAACTTTTTTATTTCGCGGAATATTAAAATTCTGTAAAGACGTTCTTAAGGCACTTTTTTAAGCACAATCCAGTGGCGTAGTGAGTTTTTTTCTATGCTTGGCTATGAACTTAAAAAAATGCTGGCATTTAACCATTTCAAACGATATAAAGTTATGGGTACCTATTTCTAAGAATGAGAGAAATATTAGATTTTTCATCTTTGTATCGAAGTGTGCCTTGATTTTGTGTTGACCTAGTTGTGTAATTATTTTTTATCGCAATTTGATATTCTATATTTATTATTTATCTGCATAATTAAAGACTTTTGAAAAGGTAAATTAACAATCTATATAAGTTTTAGTAATTACAATTGAAATCGATACAATAAACGAATAACAAAGCTAAAAAACGTATCTTTTGAGTGACGAATATAGTTTTCTAAAAAAGTCATCTAAGATGTTCAAACTGAGCACCTCCTTGTTGAATACATAATAAACATATTTTGCTCACAGAGTTACAGCGATTTATTAGGCGATTTGGTATAATAAGTCCAAAAGCTTGCCTAGTAGCCTTCTGCAATTCTTCTCTCGTCCAATGGGTTCTTCCCTTATATATAAGGTCTTTTTAATTTCCCGCATAAAAAAGCCAAAAGAAGTTAAATCACAGGACCTAGCAGACCAAGATATGGGGCCCCTTGTTCCAATCCGACTCTCTCTAAATTCTCCATTTAATGGCATTTTAATTGTAATTGGCAAAACTAATATAGAATGTTGATTTTATATTTTGCTCTATCTAGTCAGGAAATAGGTTTTCTCTGTTAAAACAGACCAATTTCGACCACCCTGTATATCAGTTAGAGTTATAAAATTTAATAATAAATTAAATTAAATAAATAAGTAATATTTTTTTTAATTTTAATTATATTGATTGAAATTAATAAAATTGCGTTTATCTCAATCGACAAAAATACAGCGACAATTTTTATTCGGCGTTAAATGGCCTGCATGGGCCTACACAACTGTGCTAACAAGAGAAAAAAGTCAGTGGCGCACAATTTTTTTTAAAAAATTATCCAGTGACAACCCATGTGACAACCCAATCTACCTACACTTTTTATCATTCAAATATGTACAACTTATAGTAACTTTTACCCTCAAAATTTCATTCGAATCGCTAAAGACACTAGGAAGAAAATTATAATAAATCTAAAAAATGTGAGCCTTTAACCCCCTGTCGCTATAAAACTAAGCAGAATCGGCCCTATAAAAAATAAATCTTATTTTTAGGCGAGGAACCTACCAACGAAAGATGCGTAACATGTTTCTGAAGCACCCTGTACTATATTCATTAAAAATGAAATGTATAAACAACTAAGTACATTTAATTCAGTGCCTATATTTACTCTAAGTACAGTACTCCCCCCTAACTAACCTTAGGTAAATATTTATAATAGTTTATCAATAAATACCTATTAAACTATATCTTTCTGTACCTAAGGTACCTACATAAAAATTGTACCCTAATAAATGATCTAATATCACAGATAACACATATGTGTTATCTGTGCTAATATATGTGATAATTGGAAATATTTTAATCTTAAGATATCACATCTTAAATAAGAACTTAAATAGAACTAAAGTTTTAATAAGATTGACTTGTATATCCTTGTATATAAACAATGAAAGCTTTTGTTTGTATATTCCTAATAATATCAAAGATGAGACTTTTGCTGGTACTTACCCTTAGAACTTAATGATTTATCTATAACAGGACTGTCTTGGCCTTCCATATTCATGCACTAAATACCATATGAAACTTACTTATTGCAATAACAAAATACGTAGTACTCTAAATAAACATTTATATGGAATAAATATCAAGTACAAATAGTTTAAAAGTTCAATTTAAACAACCTTCCTATAGCGACTATATACAATTATTAACTGACCAGTCATTAAAACTGAGACGTTTAATTCATAAAATATAAAAAATCGTTGTACTGGTAGTTTGTTAAACTCTGAAACATGTTAACCGTGAAAATACCAAGCTGTCAAGGTTAGTATTTAAACTGAAACATAAACAAAAAAAACGATGGTAGAAAACCTTGTTTATATAAGCTATATTTAAAAAAGGAATCAATTTGATGCTATTGCCTTAAAAATCTTATTTTAAAATTATATATTTCAGTCTGATAGCCTGCATCAGGAAGGTACATAAAAAGAATAATAATATTGTTTATTAATAATTCATACAGTATTATGAATAGATATGAATGAACAGAAAGGTATGTACCCATTATGTACCTAATTTAGGAAGAAATTATAACATTATTTGTTGACAGATATAGGTATATGAATATCTATGAAAAAAGAACTTAAAAACAATAAATATTAAGCTTAAAATCACTTGATAAACAATAAATAATAAATATTGCTTATAAAATAAGCGCAAATCACAGGCGCAAATCAAGCTGGATGTGTCAAATTATTAGAGTTGTGTAGTTCACGACCAAACTACGTAGTTCAAAAGGTGGTCTTACGTATGTGAACTAAAAGATTCCATCAGTTGGATCGAGAAGACACGGTTATTTGAACTAAATTAAAAATAAGGGTAAAAATAAGAATGAGAAGAAAATAGGTAGGGACTGGTTGAACTGTTGAATTGTAACGTAAAAGAATAAACTACTTCCCCTAGGAGATGCAAGACCTTGTTGGTGCAGAAGCTCCTAGTCAGGTGCTGGGGGAAATCCCCCTAGCGCCTGGCTTGGTCTAACAAGCATCTCACTCATCGTCTTGTCCCTGGCTGTAGTGTCGTGGCCAGGAAATTGCACCAAGATATATAACGATGCCGGACGGGGCTACCCCTGTCCGTTATACCACATACCAGAGGCACCCTCTACTGACTGTGGTCATGTCTCGCGGGTAGAGGGTGTGGGAGGTCTTGGCTTAACCGCCTTGACCAAGAGGAGACAACCTCACCAAAAACCTAAATCCTATACGATGGACGGACCAGGTCAAAGGGATGCGTGGCTAGATAGAGGACTAGCCATTACTGGCCTCAACCTTGGGGCATTATTTACCCCTTACTTCTACATGCGGGGCTCTGTAGAAGTGGACCGACTATCCCTAGCGACTCGTGGGAACACTATGAGATCTAGCATTAAAAACACCACCGGTGAAGCTGTGGGGAAGCCCCTAGCGACACTGGGAACATTACAAATGAACGTTCCAAGGGACCAAATCCAAAGGAAATTACAAGAGGGGCGGCTGACACTTGCTTGGGATCATCCTCCACAAGTGGCACACAAGCTACCACTTTCTCCAGCAAGGGTCGGGAGCCTACCTCTAGACCCAATAAGCGACACAAGCTACCGTTTCGTCTACCCGGCCTGGGTCAACCAGGCGGGCTAGACGATCCTCTGAGAGTAGGTCTTAGCGGAGCAGAAGCACGGAGATACCTCCGACTGCTCCACGAAGAACTTACTCCAGAGGGAGCAAAAGCGAAAACACTCCTCTGAAAAGGAGAGAGTAAAGAAACCAAGAAACAACCTGACTCATCTCCATCAAAGGGCAAGAGAGGGAGCGAGAACCTCTCACCTCTCCTCCCGCAGGGAGAGAAAAAAGCCAGGATGGAAAGCCTTCCAACACCGGGAGGCAAGCAGGGACGTATCACCAGCTTTGCCGCTATTGCTGGACAAGTGAAAATGGCGGTGCTGCCAAAGGATTTCCCAGAGGTTGCTCTGACCACCGACCAGCAAACGTCTCTAGAAGAGGCTACACTCGACGAAGTAGTGGCGATCGGATCGCAACACAACGATCTACAAAATGTGGGTGAGCTGCGTTTTGCGGGGATACACTTTCGGGTGGCCTGATCCGCATAGATTGTGTATCTCAAGAATCGACGAATTGGTTGGTGGAAATCGCACCTAAGCTTAGAAATTGGCCTGTGAAGGGAGAAAACATCCCTAAAGGGACGGCCATCACGGTCTTTCTGCCGAGGAGCAAGGGGAAAGGCACCACCTACCTGCTGAGCCTTATCCAGGGTCAGAACTTCAATGTAAGGACATCGAGTTGGCGAGTCATCAACTCGAGGGAGGAGGGTCATGGCCAGGTCCTCACAATAGGAATTGACCTCAAATTCAAGGAGGCAATAGAGAAAGAGGGACATATCCTCTATTATAGATACGGGACAACACCGTATCAGGTCTAAGGAGAGACCAAGTTAAAGAGGTGGAGAAAATGGAGACAGATCCTCCAGCCTCCACCTCACGGGTTCCTCAGCCGGAGGCAAGCTCCTCGACTGTGAAGGGCGGCACGGAGGGCCAAACTCCAACCGTGGAAGGGTGTGTACCCTCGGAGAAAGAACTGTTGTCAGAGGAGGATGCGAAATACCCTGTCACCTCTATAGCAGGGGTACGATGGGTTATAGACTGTGTGATGACTCGAGGAAGGGGGGCACAATAGATCTTTAAGGTTGCAGTGATTAACCCCTCCTCTTACTCATTCTACATTCTACATATACTAAACTACAAAACAAGAAATGTTAAAGCCCTGAGACTGTATTATAAGTTATAACTCAAGAAAGGGGGACACAATAGATCTATAAGGTCGCAGTTATGATTTTCCTCCCTCCCATACGATTTACAAACTGTTCATTCCCCGTGCGAAATGAAGAGCAAGGGTCTGGTACCTTTTAGGTACATCAAAACTTTAAAATTTTCTATACAGAATTGAGAAGAGGAACACTAATGACATTTTCTAATAAAAAAAGTGCGGATCGTCCATAAATAACACGAATAACACCAAAAACAAACCCCCCAAAAAGAATGTTGTAACCAATGCAATCAAAACTCAGTTACGGCAGACGTTTTTACCATTGTGATCCTCTTCTCAACCTTCAACACAGATCAAAATATAATATCTATTCTTATGAACTTAATATCGCTACCCTTATTTTTCAAAATTAATAAGAAAGTATAAATAAAACAAAATCCGGATTTTCAACATTTCATTGTTACCGCCAGCGATACAAGGCGATATGCGCAGACGCGAGCAAAAGACAAATAAACTAATTCTATGTCTTCTTTGTCACTCTTATTAAACTTAATAGAGAAAATAATACAACCAGTAAAACACATTCTCTCTCATCTGTCATAATTATCGCATACATTGACAACTTATCGTAAATTTAACCTAAAAATAATAATTTTAAGTATCAATAGCATATCAATAGTGAAGTGATCTCAAATTTAGCCGACGATCCGTACTTAAAACGTTATCAAATTTACATCAATAACTTCAAGATTGCCGATATACCTAAAAGGTACCAGAGCCGAAGAGCGAAAACTACAACTTATTGAACTAAACTTAACAAAACGAACTAAATTGCTTTGTTGAACGAGATCGAAACATCGGTTAAGTCAAGGTTAAGTGAACTAAACTTCCCAGCTCTATCACTTCTTTGTCAAAATATTATCAGCTGCTGAAAAGTCATCCTGACGTTTCCGATCAGCTGTTTACAAAAATCATTTTCCAAAATAAAACAACACCGAACTACATTTTTCTCTGTTTAACTTACGCTTGATATCATTGTATCTTTCTTTAATAAAGAAACCTTTATTAGTAAATAGATGGATATCTCAAGGAAATCTCTTAAAATAAATTAGAAGATAAAATTCAAACTTATAATTCTTACTTTAAATAAATATAAGTAGTATAAAGTGTAGTGCTAAACCAAATTGTTTTTAATTAGTTTGTGGTGCTTCAAAGGTGAACTTTAGACGTATTGTCTCCTTGAATTAATGTGAAAATTTTAATCATCAGTTCAATCACCCTGCTACAAGTGCGATCAAAAAAATTAAAATTAAAAATATATCGACTGGATAGTGCTTCATTTAAGTATTCGACATGTGTATCTTGTTTGTTCATACAAATCCTGAGCCGGAGGATAATGAATATAGACTTATAGTGGCCACAAATAGAGATGAGTACTACAAAAGGCCTGCAAAACCTGCATTTAGATGTCCAGATACTGATATTATTGCTGGTAAGAGATAAAAATAAAACTTTAATAGGGACAATTTTATCGTTTACCACGTCAACAACTTATTTCACAATTAATTTCATACTTCAATATTAATAAATATGTTGTTTCTATTTTATGACATCAAAATAAAGTATCTACAATATACAGGGTGGCACCTCTCAAACGAGGCTCCATGAAAAACTGTAGTTTGTATTAAAATGAAATGAGTTCTACAGGGGTCCCCAAAAAAGTTACGCATCAAATTTGTATTTTTTTAATGGAACACCCTATATCAGCTTATTGATTTTTGGATTCTAAAATTTTAACGAAGCATATAAACAAAATATATGACTAAAATGTAAGGTTTTTGAGATATTTAACATTTTCTAAGAATAAACTTTAAATTTCAATAAAAACAACCTAAATTATTGTGATTTACCCTGTATAGCCTGATATTTAGTTAATACAATCCTTTGCATTGTAATACAAGTATGTAATACGATCAAAAAATTAAACTTTGTCCAGAAAAGTTATACAGGGTGAGACAATATTAATATTGAAGATTGGTCATATTTAAAAGCAAGTTACTCTTTTATTTTAACTTGAACACCCTGTATATTATTCCGATATTCAACCGGGTAAATTCCAATTTAGCAGAGATGTACATGATACCCCATAAAAAGTATCTCAAATACAAGTTTTAGGACAAGATATCAAAGGCCTTGTCCTAAAACTTGAAAAAAGAATGAAATGGATGCTTTTCTTTAATCCATTCATTAATACTAGACAGAATAATAAAAATGTTGTAATTTTTAAAATGTTTATTTTGTTCTATTTTAGGTTTAATGTTAATAAAAAAAACTTAAATACATAAAATACATTCATTGTACCTACTAAAGATATTATATTTATTGATCTGGCGACACTGCTTTAGTCCATATTGTGATTGAATGTCATAAAGTAAAAAATTGGCGCCGAGAGGCACGTATAGCCGCCCATACTAAAATATGTTAATAAAAAGTTGGTAGGCAGTTCTTTTTTAGTTTCAAAGAAAAGGAATTTTTTCAATTTTTTTTTATCTCAAAAACTGCGACTTTGACTGATTTTGATGTTATTACAAATTTTGTTGCAAATATTATTCCTAATCTTAAATTGAAAACCGCGTTTCGCTAGCTACTGTAATTTTGGAGTTACGATTTTTTAAAATTTTTAACCCCCTCCCATACCCCCTTACCAACCCCCCACCCCCACCAAAAACTAATGGCCAGATTCTCGGGTGCCACAGTATTTTTGTGCCAAATTTGGTTAAAATCGGTTTAGCGGTTATTGAGTTATCGTGTTACAGACGGACAGACAGACAGACACCATGAAAATATTTTGTATTTAGGTCATTTATGATCCAAATAACTCATTTTGAGTGAAATTAAAAAAACTTTTTTTTTGTCGATCTTAATAGCCTACCATACCTGTAGGTTAGGGTTCCCAACCGTCCCGGTTTGACCGGGATTAACCAGGAATCAGAAAGTTTGTCCCGGCGAAAATTTTGCCTTGGCCGTGACCAGAAAATCACATTTACATATAATATATTTGAATTTTTAATATTTAATGTTTTGTTTCAATTATTTAAAAACTTAAAAATAATTGTCCCGGAATCGCCGATGCTCAAGTTGGGAACCCTACTGTAGGTATGGTCGGCTAAAAATATTAAAATAATAATTACTACTAATAATAAATAATGTACTAAAAAAATGTAACTAAATACAAGATACATCTTGTATCTTGTATTTAGATCTATGATTTAGATGCACTTTTTTTCATCAATTACAATTTAATCAAATTAAAAAAAGTATTTCAAATACAAGATGAAAACACGTATTTTGTATCTTATATCTGTATTTCAAATACTTGTATCTGAAATAAGTCACATCTCTGCAATTTATGTGGTTTTATTGAAATTTAAAATTTACCCAACCTTAAATTTTACTCATATGCTTCATTAATAAAACTCACCTTTATTTATTGCTAGAATCTGAAAATCAATTAATATATAGGGTGTTCCCCTACAAAAAACACAACTTTAGTGTGTAACTTTTTTGGAGACACCCTGTAGAACTCTATATATTTTTATAAAATACTTTCAATTATACTACATATGCTCCAAAAATTTCATTTCAATACAAACTATCGTTCTCCTTGAAGCTTCGCTTAAAAGGGGCCACCCTGTAGTTAGTAACTACTAGTTATATACCAGTTTATGTGCCCTAAAAATTTACACGATAGGTTTCAAGTGAGGGCTGTTATTTTGTAGGTAGGGATATGGAACCTGGTCGAGAAGGTGGTACTTGGCTAGGTTTTAAAAGTAAAATACACCATGAAAATGGGAAACCAACTAAGCACTGTTTTTCATGTTTAACTAATATTTCCAATGGTCCAAAAATCGAAAATGCAACTGGTAGAGGAATGTTAGTAATTGATTACTTAGATGGAAACCTAGATTATCCAGAATATACCAAAAATCTAAGAAATAACGGTTTGGAGTACAACGGTTATAACTTAATAGGCGTAGAATTAAGGTAAGCCTTTAATGTCCTAAAATTATTATAAAATAGTATTGTTTTGGTCTCATATAACTTATCTTAGTCTGTATTAATCTTTAGTTCACAAAGAAAAAATAATATATTTTGTCTGTATATTTCTATTGTGTAGTTATCTTTTGTTAAACAGAAATTTTGCAGTTTCATTTGTTGTTTTTCAAAAAATTCACAACTCATTCTTATAGACGCATAAAAATAGTGACATTGCTGTTATTGTCATTACGTCTATAGCAAGTCTATAGTCTGTCCAATGAGCCAGGGAAGATTTCGACAGACGACATCCAAAAAATGACAGAAAATACAATATATGTGTGAATTAAAATGACAGACAAAACTGTCACTATCATGAATCTTCTGGTTGGAGAGATTTGCATAGACAGTAAATCAATGACTAAATACAAGGACCAATATCACCACAACAAAGTATTAAAAACGGTAAAACTGTCCCCAGGTCTCTGATCCTTTGTATGGCACCAAAAAAATGGCGTCTTATAATGTAACATCGCAGATTTTGCCCCACCCCGTATATTTGCATTATGCGTTCTTGTATTCTTTAGTTATTGCGATAAACAACATAATCACTCTTGTTTAAGGAATATACAGTATAATCTATAATATAATATCAAAATAAAAAAAAACATGCTTAATGATTGTGTTACTTTCATTTAATATTTTCATTGTTTTTAAAAATTTCTCCACAAAATGTTTTTTAGTAAAGATGGTAAAACAGAAATCTACCATCATAGTAATTATCCTCAAATCGATTCCGTTTATGTTGGTAAACATACGTTAGGATTTGGCAACAGCGCTGTCTCAAGCCCATACATGAAAGTCTTACAGGGAAGGGAAAATTTTCAAGATATAATTGAAAAAAGACTTGAAAAAGAACAGCTCGTAGAGGCTCTTGTAGAATTGTTGAAGGATAAAACCAAGTAAGTAAAAAATAAATAAATATTTTATATTTAAGGCTAAGACCACACGTAACGTTTTACCTGACAGTCTTGCCTGTTTAGGCTAAACGTGCCAAGTAAAACTATAAACTTTGTGTGTAGACGAAAAAAAGGTCGAAAAAAATTTGAACACAATTGAGACAGAAAACCTTTGAATACAAAGATTAAGGAAAGAGTATAATGCTATCAATGTATTCATGCATGGTAGACCGATGTAGGGGCCCTAGTGTAGGGATCATTGACAGTTCTGTTTGACGATTTATTTGACACATTTGAATTTGATTTGAAATGTTGTGGATCAAATCTTTTACTGAGCTTATTTTATGTTATTTATTATTTATTCTACAATTGGTAGTTATTCAGAGGTAGTAAATCTAAAAGGAAATTGTGGCAGAACTTAAATTAACAGTGGCACTATTGCGATTTATTGAAAAAGACTGTAAAATGGTTGTGTAGCGTGCGGTAGATCTCGGTCAAAAATCGAGAAAAATAACTTTTCACTTGTATATAATATACATACGTGTAGTAAACCGATCATTTATGAAATTCTCTTAAAATTAACTAATCATATATTTTTTCTGCATTTTTGCTTTTATTTATTACTTGTCAGAGATTAGATGTCAAAGAATTTAGATACGTCAATTTGACTTACCTGCTTCAGTAGCGTATCGGATGTTCATGGTTATAAATAATTATTATAACTTATCTATTTTTATTAGAATTATATATTTTTATAACAATTTTATTAACTACCAACATTTATTGACAACGTAAAATAAAACAACAAATTATTACGTCTAGCTTGCATCATATTTTTACACGTTTTGGATAAAATTAGAACGGCACTGATAAACCGGAATTTAAGTCGGCCATTTTTGAGCCCCATCGCGCTCTACACAAATTTTTTGATATGCTCCTTCCTTAACATTTCTATTCAAAGTATTACAACAAAAATTTGAACAAAGTTCCTTGTTCAGTATCGTAAGTTTTAATAAGTTCAAGTTACTTTTTTAAGGACCTAGTTTTGCAAATAATTTAAAAACGGCTTAGCTGAATGGTTTCAAAGTTGTACGTGCTAGTTTTTAATTCGTCTTACCTAACAGGTAAAACGTTACGTGTAGAAGAGGCTTTAATGTGGAATTGTTCAGAATATAAGATGTTTTTTTAGATATTTACCTGATAAGGAATTGGAGAGAAGAGCACCCAAAGCTTTAGATGTATTATCTTCAATATATGTCGATTTTTCTAGAGGTGGATATGGGACCAGGTAATCAGAAAAGACGTATATGGAGGTTAAAACCACAGTCTAATCGTTAAGCAGCCCGTCGATTTCGCTAATTTTTGAGTTTCCTTCATTGGAGCTCAGAATTCGACTTGTTACATCAGATAAGAGCAAATATCTAAATATAGGAAAATTAATAAAAGTTGGACGCCATCAAAATACCGTATGATCGAAAAAAACGACGTCAAATGCGGTTGCAGAATAACAATCGATAATTTTGGCGAGGTTAATCTCTAGATGTTACTTACAAAAAATTGACATAAAACTTGTTATTCCTCAGCCGTCTTTGACGTGTTTTTTTTCGATTATAATGGTGCGTTTAGACTTGAGCACGCACGCACTGATCCTTCGCGAATGCTCAAGTGTAAATGGCTGTTCGCGAACGCTCACTCTGAATCTGTCTGTGCGCGAGCAGCTGCGAAGATGAGCCGTCTGGTGTCGGTTTTTGGTCCGTGCTCAAAGGGATTTTATGTATGCGCGAACGCTCAGTTTGCACCGGCAATTTGTTTTGTCGGCGTTCGTGCGTGCGTGTGTGATTTTTTTCATTTTCTTTATTAAAATTATGGAGTGGATCAATGAATCTTCGATATTATTAATTGAAGAATATGAAAAGTTGCCTATATTATGGGATGTTAAACATTCTTCGTATTGTTAAAAAACCAAAAAAAAACACATGACAAGACCTTGTAAATAAAATTAATACGGAATATATCGATATTAATGAAACTGCTATTCTAAAATTTGTATCTTTTGTTCGTATTTTTTGGTGTTATGAAATTTTGTAAATATTCAAAGTCGGGCCTGGTCATTCTTGTAAAGTTTTTGAACTGATCATAGCCCTCCTCAGACACTAAGTTTTTGCAGTAAATTATATCGATTTCTAAAAATTTTGGTTTGCCACCAGCGACGATGTTTTCGATTTTCTTCTTTTTAATAATTAAGCTGTGCATAACAATGACTGCAGCCCCGACTATTTCTTGGTCGTCCATTATTTTCGCCAACACAACTCTGCTGTGCGCGCATAAGTGGATCACTTCATTCGTCGAAAAATAAGTTTTCAATTTGAACGGAGCCGAGAGCGCGAACGAATGCCGTGCGCGCACGCTCAGCTCGTGCGTACTCAAGTCTAAACGCACCTTAAGGTATTACGAGTTTTACGCCTACTGTAGTATAAACAAAGTTTAGAGAATATTTTTAATTCTGTAAACTTTGGTATAACATAGCTTTTTTGTAGCTCTAATATAGTATTATATTTTTTTTTCAGAACGCATACCATTATATTGATCGACAAAGACTGGAATTTAGAATTTAAAGAACTCACTTTGGAGGAACCTATCGATACGAAAAATTTAAAATGGCTTACTACGACTATAAAGAGTTCATTATGAAAGTATTAAAATGTTATATATCGATTTTTTTCAGGGTTTAAACATATTCAAATATTCAATTAATTGAGTTATTTCAAGTTATTCGGTTCATATTTTAAATTTCAATTTGTTTTGATCTTTGAACAAAGAGATTAAGGAAGGAGCATATGAAAAAACTTAGGTCGAGCGCGATGGGGACCAAAAATGGCCGACTTAAATGCCGGTTTATCAGTGTCGTTCTAATTTTATTCAAAACGTGTAAAAATATGATGTAGGGTAGATTCAATAATTTGTTGTTTTATTTGACGTTGGCAATAAATGTTAGTAGTTTTAAATTTTTATAAAAATATTAAATTCTAATAAAAATAGATAAGTTATAATAATTATTTATTAACACCAACATCCCATACGCTACTGAAGCATGTAAGTCAAATTGACGTATCTAAATTCTTTGACATCTAATTTTTGACACGTAGTAAATAAAAGCAAAAATACAAGAAAGATATATAATTAGTTAATTTTAAACGAATTTCATAATGATCGATATACAGGGTTGTTCACCACATACGACACGGAGTATTGTAGCTAAACGATTATATTTTTACAAATTGTAAGTTTTGGGTTCGATGAAGGACTATTAGAGGTACAATTTAAAAATAATTTTACAAGATACAGAGTGTCCCAAATAAGTAAAAAATATCAAAGTTGTATTTTTTTAAACGGAACACCCTGTATATTATTACATTTTTAGTTTCTACGATTAAAATAAAGGTAAATTTGATTAATGTTTATTACAGTTAAACCTTACCGTTTTTGAAATATTTTCAATTTTGTGAAATTGCAGTAAAAATTTTAAGGCTTCATTTCTCCAAGGGTATCAAAGTTTTTAATACTAAATATTTACTGAAGTTTATTTATTGATCAGTTATTCTGTTACAATAATAAAAATAATACTACCTTATACAGAGTGTATAAAAATTTATTTTAAATAATTTCTAGCTTTAAACGCCAATAACTTCTTTAATTTAAATGGAACGCCCTGTATATTTTAGGAGAATCAGATGCACAATTTAATTCTCTATCAAATTGTATTATACCATTTTTTACCTATCCCTTCAAGTTTTCGTAGAAAATGCATTTTCTTATTATTTAGACCTCATTTATCAATATACCCATGGAATATTGGCATTTTAGATTGTTTTTATAGCAACAAATGTACAAAATCCACAGGCTAGTAATATTATCGATTTTAACAAAACGATAATATTACTAGCCCATTTGTATGCAAAAAGAAAACTATTTAAATCTTTATAAAAGTGTATACCATTAATTAAATATAACACCATTATTTCAGCCCATATAATAATTAATTTCATACTTAATTGTGTTCGTTAATAAATTATTCTAAATAAATGTGGATTTGAGTCAGAAATCAATATAATAATAAGTTATCAAAATGAACGTCTCTGTTGTTATAAATAAACATTTATTAAAAAATGAAATATCATTTTTAAGGTGTTCCTTTTTACCACACTGTCTAATACACATACAAAACTCAGTTTTTTAGTATTTGGGGCAATTATTATTAATCAACGCGTACCCATACTGGAATCATATTAATTGGTCCTCTTTAACAAATATTTAAACAGTTTTTTTTTATTTTTTAATGAAATAAACGAATTATATCGACAATATTAGTATCTGTACTCTTCAAAAATTTGGTACATCTTTAAGAATAATCTAAAATGTCAATATTCCATGGGTATATTGATAAATAAGTTCTAAATTACAAGAAAATACTTTTTCTACGGAAACTTAAAGAGATAGGTAAAAAATGGTATAACACAATTTGATAGACAATTAAATTGTGCATCTGATTCTCATAAAATATACAGGGTGTTCCATTTAAATTAAACAATAATTATTTAAAATAAATTTTTAGACACTATGTATAAGGTACTATTATTTTTATTATTGCAACACAATAACTGATCAATAAATAAACTTCAGTAAATATTTAGTATTAAAAACTTTGATACCCTTGGAGAAATGAAGCCTTAAAATTTTTGCTGCAATTTCACAAAATTGAAAATATTTCAAAAACGGTAAGGTTTAACTGTAATAAACATTAATCAAATTTACCTTTATTTTAATCGTAGAAACTAAAAATGTAATAATATACAGGGTGTTCCATTTAAAAAAATACAACTTTGATATTTTTTACTTATTTGGGACACTCTGTATCTTCTAAAATTATTTTTAAATTGTACCTCTAATAGTCCTTCATCGAACCCAAAACTTACAATTTGTAAAAATCTCATTGTTTAGCTACAATACTCCGTGTCGTATGTGGTGAACAACCCTGTATAATTACTTACTAGCGAAAAGTTATTCCATTATTTCCCTCGATTCTTGACCGAGATCTACCGCACGCTACACAACCGATTATTTTAGAGTCTTTTTCGATAAATCGCAATAATGTCACTGTTAATGTCAATTCTGGCATAAAAAATTTCCTTCTAGTTTTACTACCTCTATAAACAACTACCAGTTGTAGAATAAATAATAAATAACATAAAATAAGATCAGTAAAAACAGACAAATCCACAAAATTTCAAACTGAAATGTGTCAAAAGAATCGTCAAACAGAACTGTCAAGGATCCCCACCAAAGACATTATAAATATAATATATTCTTCCTAAATCTATGATCCCCACCTCCGTGTACCTTGCATGAATACATAGATATCATTATACTCAATGACTAAAGAATCCAAGGACAAATAACACCCGAGAGCAAATTGTGACGATGTCACCAAACAGTGTCGTGGCCCGTGGCACATATTTTTCTTAACCTAGCCGTTTGAAGAGATATTTATATTTTTTGATAAATGTTTTGACTACGCCTATGGTGTATACGGTGGTATTATACTAATTAATTCCGAAAAAAACGTATTAATATGTTAACAAAAGGTACAAAACTAGTATCGACGTATAGCACACATCAAGTACATATAATATCAGAAAAATAATTATCGAATTCGATAAGAAAACGCTAAAAAGGTGGAGCGGACTGTTTATTTACCTATGAAACGTAACTCCTGGCTCTTTCTTATCGCTGCTGTTTTTACACAATCACCATTGTAATAAAGTTTATACAAAGTTCACTACACACAAACTATTAAAAATCGCTAAAATTATCGCTGCTGACGAGATGATGACTCATTGTTTGCCACCAAAAGAATGGCGTCTAAGGTCACAAATTCTGCTGCAGCCCGTATATGGGCGTTACATGTCCTTATATTCTTTAGTCATTGATTATACTCCTTCCTTAATATTTTTATTTAAGAATTTATTCAGAGTAAAATTCTTTATCCTGTGTATTTAAGTATATTAATGATGTATTATTCTTTGTATTTTCAATTGCTTGTTAGGAGTTTAATTGGTATATTTTTTATTTTTAAATCATATAAATTGTTATGTGTATATTTTATGAATATTATAAGTTATAAATCTATTTTATTATGGTTTTTGTTTGTCATATATTATTTTTTAAAGCGCGAAATAAAATACACTTTTTCTTATAATAAATAACTTTTTATTTATTTATTTTGTTTTCCATAAAGCAAATATCATTTAAGTTTTGTGAAAAGTTCATCGATCAGAAAATCACAAAGATTTGTTGGCATTTTGTTGAAATAAAAATAGCTGCTGAGAGTTTGTAAGTTGTTGTTTTTTGAATGTTTTTTTTTATTTGAAGTACCTATCACTTGTGTAGTTTTTAGGCTTTTTGCGTAGACTCATTAAGAAATAAGATTTTTAATTTCAAATCTTTAAATAAAAAACTATAATACAATATTTTTTTTAAAAGCCACTTTAGTTTCTAATGAGAGACACTTCAAATAAAGAGAATTTAGGCTGATTGTCACCTGTCAGTTTGACTGACGCACACTGACCGACTCAATGTCACTGAAAAACAGAAAAAACGACGCTTGCCTGAATCAAAGACATCTAACTAAAGGGAAGATACAACACTCCCTTCATTGAAAATGCTAGACTCATATGCCGAATTCGCCCATTGAGCGAAATAAATACATCCACAAAGTTGCACGAAAGAGTTTTCGTGCTCAGTGGGCGAATTCGGCATATGAGTCTAACATAAACACCATTTTTTTAGAATCATACATACTTTAACACAAATTAAAAAGAGATGGGTGCATAAATATGACAACACTGTTGAGTTTCGTGTGCATTTCTGTCTTTTCGGTGTACAAGTGGCGTGGTGATTTTTATTTAATAAATATTAATACATAATACCGTATGATCGAAAAAAAAAAAACGGCGTCAGCGATGGCTATGAAATGAAGATCGCTGAAATATCGATCTAATGCTGATCGATCGAAAATGATATAGGGAATGTCATCGATCGTCATTTCCAAGCCAACTGGACGCCGTTTTTTTTTCGATCATACGGTATAATATAATACAATAATTATTTCTCTACATTATAGTAATAGTACATGAGAATTCAAGATATGAAGTCCACAAAAAATCGTACACGTATAATTTTATTTTCAATAATGCTTTTTTGTAATAACCTACTTAAAACTTAAATTAGGTACACCACTGCTAAAGCTTAAATACAGGGTGGCCCATCGAAAACGTTCCGCAAGGCATAACGGCCAGGGTAATTTTTTTTTCAGAAAATTCAAAAACACGTCAATTTTGTTTGTGAGGGGGACAACTTTTGCCCCAAAAATTATTGCAAGATCTTCAACCCTCTAAGCGGGGGTGCCATCCCCCGATTTTTTTCAAATGGGAAGGGGGGTCAAGTGGTACCGCAATGAAATTTGGCTTTCTGTTCTCTATACATTCCTGCTTCGTTTTTGAAGATCGGTCGAGTCGTTGGGAAAATACGAAGGATTGAAATTTGAAAAGTTTTTTAAACATTTATCAGAGTAAATGATAAGGATAAATTCCTTCGACCAATTTGCTGTTTTTTCTTATTATTTCTAGATGTTTGCAATCGGGTTGCGCAGATATTCAATGAACGCCATCCTGACAAACACCTTTATGGCAAAATTGTTCGCCAGTTAGTAACCAAACCAAAATTTCGCGAAACTGGTTCCGTTATGAATAAAAAGAGGCAGAGGGAAAATCCTGTAGTAAATGAAGCTATGGAGGTATTCGAATTGGGCCAAGTTGCCATGGATAGTACGCTGAGTACAAGAAACTTAGCCAATGAGACCGGCGTGAATCGTACAAGTGTCCAAAGGATATTAAAAAAAACACAAGTTCCACCCGTACAAAATTCAGTTGGTACAAGAACTCAACGAAGACGATTTTGATCGTGGCATGCAATTTTGTGAAACTATGAGTGA